GGCAGCAGCAGCCACCACAGCAACCAGCTGCTGTCCTTCCGGCCAGTGCTCTGCGCGGTGAGCAGGCCCACCCCCTCTTCCGCCTCCTAGCTCCAGGCCCTGGGCCACCACAACGCCCTGGCCAGGCCACCCACCGCTCCATGCAAATGTGTAAACCAACTCCTAGTAGGATGGTAGCCTCAATCCTTCCCAGGCCCAGAGGGGCTGCGAAATTTGGAATTGTAGACAATGGCCAGGTGCCTGGAGTCAGCACCGCGGACAGCGCCGAGGCCGCGCTAGTTCTGCGTGCGGGTGGTCTTCCACCTCTGGTCGTCCACACCTGTGAGCCGGCGCCTCCGCCATCACACGGCCCCGTGAGCCCGTGAGCTCGGGGCGGCTGCTGTGTGGAAATGAGGCTCAGAGGAACAAAGTGACTTGCTCATTGTCGCTAGGGTTGATATGGAGATGAGATTAGACCTCAGTGCAGGGACCAGGCTGAGAAGAGGGTGGGTCTGGGATGTGTGTGTTGGGGGCGGTGGGGAGGGGGGTCCATAATGTATCCAATGCGGTGCAGGAAAGTCTCACTTGCATTTGTGCTGACAGAGGTACTGGCTGGCCTAGGGCTGGGGTTAGGGGACAGAGGGCCAGGCCCAGCCCAGCTTCATTTAAAGAGGCTGAGGACCTCGCAGGTGGAAGCACCTTGGGCTAGGGAAGCCTAGACACAGCCAATTATGGATGTCCTGGCCTGTTTGTTCTAGCTCTGCTATGCAGAACTGCTTAGCTGGGCTCGTTCCTGTGAGAGGCTGTGCCCAGGGTGCTGGGTGGGGATTGGGTGTCAATGAGACCCTTAGGGAAACTGTCTTGGTTAACAGGCCAGCGTTCCCTCTGGATCTCTGATATTCCTCTTGCAAAACAAGCCCATGTCACAAGAAGCCCTAGCCTTGACCAGAAAGGGTCTCTGGGGACACCCCCCCTAAGTCTCACCATCTCAGCACAAAACCATGGGAAGGGGACCTGTGAGCAGTCCAGTTTCCAAGACAGCCAGGGAGCTGACAAGGAACTGTGGTCGTGGGGCCCAAGCAGCTGCAGGCTTGGGGTGGGCAGTGGGAAGAGGGAAGTGGGGCTGAGCGTGTCCTTGTTAGCGTCCCTTGGAAGGGTCTGACCCCTTCACTCCCCCCTTCCTGTGACTCAGAACCACAGTGACAGCCGTGTGACACTGTTTGAAGGGGACAACTTCCAGGGCTGCAAGTTCGAACTCACTGATGACTATCCGTCCCTGCCCTCCATGGGCTGGGCCAGCAAGGATGTGGGGTCTCTCAAAGTCAGCTCTGGAGCGTGAGTCCTGGGACTGGGATGGGAAAGGAGGAGAGTGGGAAGCAATGGGGGGGCGGGGAGAAGTGGGGGCACTAGGAGGCAGGGTAAGGAGACTAACAGGGGGACTTGGAGGCAAGGGGAAGTAAAAGAGGAAGACTGCCTGGAGGGAGGAGGAGAGGAGGTAACAGGAGAAGCAACTGGGGAAGTGAGGTGGAGATGAGGAAGGAGGAGGAGGGTGGGCAGAGGAGGCCGGTGAGGAAGGTGGGCAAAGACAGGGCTCAGAGGGAGGGAGGGGCATGGGCAGGGAAGTCGATGTAAAGGTTTTGGAGCTGAGAAGGGGAATGCTGGAGGACAACACTGGTGGGGGCAGAGGCAGAACTCACTGGCTTACTCACCACCCTACTTACTCACCACCGGGCACCCTCGCTGGTCTAGGTGGGTGGCCTACCAGTACCCAGGCTACCGAGGCTACCAGTACATCCTGGAGCGGGACCGGCACAGTGGGGAGTTCCGCACCTACAATGAGTTCGGCACCCAGGCCCACAGTGGGCAGCTGCAGTCCATCCGGAGAGTCCAGCACTAGGCTTTGTGGCCCCAGACACCTCCCCTGAGGGCCCTCAATAAAGGCTTCTGAACCTGCCTGCCCCTCTGCCTCCTTGCTGTCTCGCTTGGTGATTGTCCTCGTCTGTCCTTCCGAGAGTCCCTCCCTGGGGGTCCAGGACGCACTCCTGATGTGCGATGTGCATGTGCGGTGGGCAGGCTTGATGGGGCTAAGGGGAAGCTGCTGGGGAGAACCCGGGGTCTGGAGACATACCACCAGCTCCACAGCAGGGGTCCTCGCTGGAGTTCGACATCTGCACCCCCCCACCCCCCCAAAAAAAAAGCGGCTGAACCCTCGGAAGCTTGTTGGGTCCCTCTCTCACCTCCAGAGCTTTTCTGACCTTTATCGCTGGCATTTCCCTACCCAGCCAAGGAAGCCTGGGACGCTCCTTCAATAACCCCCTCTCCTCCAATCCCAGGAGTGGAGTTAGGGGAGGTGCCACTGCCTCCCAGAGCCCTCACCAGGGCGACCCCAAACTCCTTTGTCTCAATAATAAGATCCTTTCTTTTTTTCTTTTTGTTTAGTTTTTCTATGAGACATATGAGCTCTCCAGAGAGAGAGAGGAGAGAACTCCCCAGGGGAGTAATAATCCCTTCCCATAATCTCTTCCCCTACATTCTCAGGATTTGGGGCACACACACACTCACACACTGCGAGTGTTTTTCAAGCCACCTGCTCCAGGACTCAAACCACACAGTCGGCCATGTGGGAGCCATCCCCTTGAACCACTGTACCACCCACTGGCCCCCAGTAGCAATTATTTGGGTAGCGTTAAACTCCACCATTTACAAAGCACTTTCATACCCCTCCTCTCAGCCCTCTCTTCATTCTTCCTCTTCCTCCCTCTCCTTCTGAGGGCAGATAAGCTGGAGAGACCACCCTAGACCGTCTGAGACTGCTAGCCTGGGTTCTGGGGTGGGTGGCACAAGCCCACAGCCACAGTAGGGCTGAGCATGGTGACACCCATGCGAGCTATTCCCAGTTCCTTCTCTGGCTCAGTTAATGATCAGCCCACCACCTTACAGACAGAGCCTCCCCATGCTCCTTTAGGGAGCCTTGTGTTTTCCAGACCCCTTGGGGATCTATAATGGGGAGGGGTGGCCAGATCACTGCCTAGGGAAAAGATGGCAAGCAGTCAGATGATCTGGGCAGTCCCTGGTCTGGCTTGCAAAGTCAGGCAGCTGTTCCTTTGGGAAGAGCCCTGGACCATAAAGAAGGACACATGCAACCAAACCACACAGGGCCCTGAGCCTCAGGCCCTCACTGGTAAACCAAGGGCATTAATTCCTACCTTGTCTACCTCACAAAGTTATTGCAAGGATTCAATGAGAAACTCCTGACAATGCTTTGGTGCTATGGAAAGAGATGGGGCAGCCTAAATAGGGTCCTTTCCCCACGTCCATCCTGGGTTTGGGTCAGGGGACCAAGGGACAGAACTCTAGGTAGGGGGACAGATTGTGCTTTTCTCTTGATAGGCTCTAGAATCCATGATTCCTGTTGCATTTGATCCTCTTGAATCACTCCATTCTTCGTCTATTTCACTAGTGAAAGAGGGGCTCTGAGAAGAAGCCTTGTTGAAGTCACCTGCTCTCTCTCTCTTTTTCCTTTTTTTTAAAAAAAATAATTATTTTACTTAACTTTATTTATTTATTTTAATTTAACCAGAGATGGACAGAGAGAGAAATAGAAAGTGAGAAAGCAAGCTGCCAGGTCCAGGACTCGAACCATGGTCGGCCATGTGGAAGTCCAGCACCCTTAATCTTCATACCACCTGCCAGCCCCTCTTTTTTTTTTTATTTTTTTGGAGACATTTTTGATATAGGGCGCATGTGCTCACCTGAGAGAGAGAGGGACAGACAGACAGAGAGAAATCACTCCCCAGGAAGATGGCCACACCACAATCCCTTCTCCTCCATTCTCCTTTCAGGATCCTGGGCACACGCACACATGCACCCAGCATGAAATTCAAGTTGCCGGGTCCAGAACTCAAACCATGGTTAACTACGTGGAAGTCCAGTGACATAACCACCATGCCACCTTCTGGTCCCTGAACTCACCCTCTTAACTGGTGATATAAAGCCTAGATTTGAACACAAGGTTCCTGACTCCAAATGCAGGCTGTTGTGGAGAGATGTGATTAAAAATCTCAGGTCTTAGCAGAACTCCAGACTTCTCAGGACCCCAGAAGAGACTAGGGTTCCTGGCTGGACACACGCTCCTCTCCCTCCCCGTGGGGGATGGTAATATCAATGATAGCGAAATGCATAGAGCCTGTCCTAAACACCACATGTTACCATAGGCAAACCTCCTACCTCTGTAAGGCAGGTACCCTGATGCCACTCTACAAGCCTACAGGGCAGAGGTTGTGTAACTTCTGCCTGGCCCACACAGCTAGGAAATGGGGAAGCCAGGAGTTGAACCCAGAACCCAGACAAACTGGTGTTAGCATCCAGGAGCTCATCTCGCCACTGCCTGTTTTGGGAGATCAGGGAGATCTGCCCTTGGCTAAACTGCTCTCCCTCCAGGAGGGTCTGTAGTCACCGGGAAGAGTCAGTAAAATGGCTTCTGGAGCTGGCCATGCGACCCTGACCAGGGTACTGGTCGCTAGGTCTCAGTTTCCCACCTGTACAATGAAAGAGTTGGGAGCTAATACTTGTCTCAGCTCTTGGCAGCATGAGCCTTTCAGGTTTTCCTGGACCCAGGGGTCAGGCTGTGTTTCCCACATCCATGGCAGCCAGGAAGTGGGGGTCACAGGGCCGGCAGGTGGTGTGGTGTTAAGGGCACTGGACTCCCACATGGCCAACCATGGTCCAAGTCTTGGACCAGGAGGCTTGCTTTCTCTCTCTCTCTCTCATTCTCCCTCTTACTCTGTTCCTCTCTGGTCAAATTAAAGTAAATGAATAAATAAATAAAAATAAATAAATAAATTTCTTAAAAAAAAAAAGAGAGAGAGAGAGAGATCTGAGTGTTTTCACTTTCCCTTCCTTCTTCACTCTGGGCAGGCTAAGGGTCTGCAGAGCCCTGTAGGACCAGGAGAAGGATGAGGTGGGATCTGCAAAGGACTCTCATTGGCTCCTACCCTGGCAGCAGGAGGGGGGACAAGGGAGGCCCAGATTCCTCCGAACACACCCACACACA